AGAGATATTATGCCAAAAACATGGGCATAAAATAACCATTGATAGTTATTTAAACTAAAACATTAAACATAACTTTAATTTGATTAAACAAATTACTTAAGTGGTAAAAACTGAAATCCAAAAAATATGTAGGTAAATAATCATAACCAAGTTACATAACAGAACAGAACAACAATCACTGCAGTGACAATCAAAAAAGAGGTCAATGGATCCATGACAATCAAAAGGCCACAAAATGGCCAATTAGAGGCTAATGGTTATTTAAGTCCTCCAAAGCATGAGACTCTCGTGGTGGTTCAAAAAATAAATATTTATATAATCATTGTCAAATAATTTTTAAAATTTAAACAATCATATCCATGGATTTCAATTTAAGCAAATGGAGTTCATAAAAATAATTAACATACTTCAAATCTAAATATAAGTTATACAACATAACTTGTATAAAATAAATTATGATAATTCAAAACAAACGTAAAATATGTTATGATAACTCAAAATATAATATGGGTGTTTGGGAAGTGGCTATTTTAGAGGCATTTTGACTTTTTGACTATTTTAGTAGGCTATTTTAATTTTTGTGTTTGGGAAGATAGAATGAATTTTTATTTAAGTTGTTGTATTGAAAAATGTGTTAAAATGATATTTAAAATTAAAATGACAAATTTATCCCTAACCTCACATTTTTCAAAATTAATGTAAAGGGGCAAAATCGTCATTTAATCAATAATGGGACAACTTGTCAATATGACAGTGGTAGGCTGTGCCTATACTGTCACTGTGACAGCCCACTGTCGAGCTATATATATAAATATATATATTTTTTTCAATCTGAAGTATTGGTTTAGGAGCTTTTTGACTTTTTTTTTTTATTTATTTATTTGAAGCTATTTTAACCTCAAACCCAGCTTCCCAAATGCCCCCAATATAACTCACCTTACTATTATCGCTCAACTTTATCTACTCTTTTACTTCTGGTTGTTTTTCTTCACTTTCCTTACTACCCCTCTATTTATAGATGGGCTTGACCAAGGGGGCTTTTGACATATTGCACCCTTCATTATTGTTTTTGATAAGCCTTATCCAAGCTTCCAAGGCTTATCCATGAACCAAATGTTTTTTTTAATTTTTATTTAACCCTCATAAAATCATATTTACATTACCTTCCTCAACCGCTACATATTGTCATATATATATATATATATGGTTTAATTTAGTGTTAAAATTAATTAAACATTTAAGGTGTTACAAGATTTGTTCCAGAAGAAGAAAAATCCAAAACCTCTATATGTGAATTGTCCAAATGTGTAATTTTACATTTGAAGAAACTCACTTTATTTTTAAAAAATTAAATCAAAACATGTACATTTTTATGTAATTTTTACTTTAATAGGACCTATGGATTCATAAGAAAAAATGAAAAACTAAACAATTCATAATATGATATTTTGAGATTTATTAATGCCCTTTTAAATTTGATCTAATCATTTTTTATAATTTTTAAGATCACCAAATCTTGAACACCTAAAAAATAAAAATAAAAAACTAGATCTAGTCATAAAATTCACTAAAAAACAACAACCGAAAAAGGTCTCCTCCATGATGGGAAATTTGGAACAACATTCATTAGCAATTAAACAATTAGGTAGTTTAATTGATTGGAAATTTTACATTTATTTTAATAATCCAGTATTTAAATTTTGTCACGAGTAAGATTCTCTGCCAACAAGCAGAAACTATGTACTCTAATGTACGTATATAATAAATAAAAAACATTCACTAAGATTAGTTTAGTTAAAGTTGTAATATTTACCCTTCCTTTGGAATATGAGTTGACTTTTTGATTTTTTAACTATTTTAGTTTGAAGTTAAAAAATCTCGTTTGGGATGGATTTTTTTGACTTTTTTGACTTTTGTGAAAGAAAAAATGAAATGATTATGATTTACATGTGACATTTTATCTTATTAGGTTAAAAAATTTATTTTATCTTTTTGTAGTTATAATAGTCCTAACCCAACCCAAACCTTCATGCCAAATGAATCCTTAAGTTGTTTAAGTCCCACTCATGTTTGACTCGATAACATATAATTTAGATATTGATTTATTTTGTAAACAAATTAAAATTAAACATAATTTAAAACTCTTTAAATTTTATATCAAATATAAACAACTTAGTGCATCTCCAACAGTTCATCAAATTTTTTATTAAATCTAAGTAAAAAAAAAGACGATTTCCTCTATTTGATATCGCTTGCTCCAACGGAGAAATTTGGCTTTTCATCAAATTACCGATCGATCAGTCAATGCAAAAAAATGAAAAACTTGGTTTTGAAACAATTGGAGTTGTTGTGTTGTGTTGTGTTGGGGCTGTTTTGAAACAATTCAAAAAATCTCACTCATTCTGTTTCTCTTTATAATCCCTTTAAAGACGAACCATTTTTATCATACTCGCATCAACTCCTTCCTTCTATCTCTTCACTATATCAAACTTGAGTGAAAATTTATAGAAATAGAAAGAAAGATTCAGTTTTTGTTTATCGATTTCGGATTTAATAGAGTTTCTACTTCTGGGTTTTTGATTATATATCATTACGGACTTATATGTACTTGTTTGGTTGATTTTTGATTTATTCTTCAGATTTGCTACTGAGGTATACTGTTGATCTTTCTCTCTTCCCCTATTTTTTTTCTATTTTTTTTTTTATTTTTTAACTTAGAAAACAAAGAGGTGGTCAACCTAGGGGTCAACCTCCCAGTGTAAAATTTTCACAAAATTTTGCTTAAGGTGGTCATTCGAGAGAACGTCCAGCCGGACGTTCGGTGGGTCCACACTCAACGGCTACGCATAGTAATTTGCTAAAAGATGCAATACATCTTCAGTTTGGTGAAAATTTGGGGTTGTTCTCAATTTGATATTATTTTGATAAAACTATTGGAGCAAAAAAAAATGCACTTTTTCACCAAATTCAAATTTGATGATGCATTTGCTTAACCGTTGGAGATGGTCTTATTATTCAATTCTCAAAGCAAATATGTATTATTAGGTCGTTTGGTATCACTTATAAATTGTTTTCTATGCTTATATTTTTTTAAACAAAAAATAATCAGTTTAAGGAATTTAAAATAAATTGTAAACTAGCCTATCACCCGTGCTATGCACGGAATAATTATAGATATTTGTTTTAGATTTTTTTAATATATAAATTATGTTTTTTAAGATTTTTTATAAAAATAATTTAACAATTTTATCACTAACCATAGTGTATGAGAGAAGTTAAAAAGGGTACTGCAATAACTATACACGAGTTGTATCTATAATTATTTGTATGAGGAGATTTTAAATGCTGATCATGGGATTTTGACCAAATCAATAAATGCAGGCATGTGGAAAGATATGTGGGATTGAAAAAAGGTAAAAAATGCTGATCAGGGGATTTACACTAAATTAATAAATGCTGAGTTTTTTTTTAAATAAAACATTTAGAAAATTCAAATTGGGATATTGGAGTTCCCACAGACCTTGGAGGTTAAAAATCCCATTTTATTTAATATATTGTATAGATGTGTTTGATACGATTTTTAATAATTTATGGGAAAAGTTGAATAACTTTGGTTAAGTTGTTATATAATTTTTTTCTTCTTCTTTTGTCTGCAAATATGTTCTAAAAAATTATAATTAGGTGAACAAAGATAGAACTTTGATGTTTATAAATATTTAAGATCTTAAATTGCAACTTAAAAAAATCTCACTCTTTTAAAAGTAAAATAAGTTATAATTAAAATTACAACAAAACACAATTAATTAATTATTTTTAAGCAAGTAAATTAATTTATGCATGTCAAATCATATTAGGGATTTTTTTAAAAAAAAATTCTTGATATTAAGATTTTATAAAATAAATGACATATAATATTTTCATAATAGTTATGGTCGTTCAACATTTTTATAAAGAAAATTCGTCACAGATAAATTTTGTTTCAATACAGAAAAATTTCAAAATTTGTCTTAGATATAAGAGAAATTTATTTGAATAAATTTTGTTTCAATAAATTAATTTATGATCACAGAGAAATTTATTTAAGAGAAAAACCTATTAGATATCTCCTACTACTCAAAGTTAAAGGGTAATGTTTCACTAATTTTTTCATCTAATTAGTTGAATTTAACCAACTATTCAAAACTTGTTTCAATCTATTTATTATATAAGGGAGTTGGTCTTGATTTTATGAGTTGGGCATATGAAATTGGGCGTAGTTCTGATACGGATACAGTGGGTTTGTTTTTCGCCATATGTTGGGGAGTGTGGTCCTCTTGAAATTACGCCATATTCAATAATGTTGATCGCTCGGCTAGTTCAACTGTTCAAATAGTGAGTGTCTTGTTGCAAGACTTTGGGCAGGCACAATCAAATATGCATGGGCTTCAAGTGGACCGTGGTATAGTGAGGTGGAGTCCGCCGGAAGGGGGTTTCTTTAAGGTGAATTTTGACGGGGCCACTTTCAAAAAACAGCAGTCATGTGGTGTGGGAGTCATGATTCGTGATCAACATGGTGAGCAGATAGTAACTTTATCGGAACAAATTCCGACATGGATAGAGGCAGATTGTATTGAAGCTATTGCGGTTGTCAAGGCGTTGTAGCATGCAGCAAAGTTGGGGTTAACCAACATTCATTTGGAAGATGACTCTCAAACTATGGTGAAGGCAAACCGAAAAAAGAGTAACCTATGTGCTTTGTTTGGTCATTTCTTACAAAGGACCATTTCTTGTAGCAAGCAATTCTCGCATTTCCGTGTCTCATGTGAGGCGACACGGCAACCTTATGGCTCATCACTTGGCACAAATAACAAAGGAAGCTCTAAACAAGCGGACGTGACTTGCTGAGGTCCCTGTCAATTTAGTGCATATTTTGTTAGGTGAAGTTCCCATTCCGTAGGGGCAACCCTCTGCCCTCTAAAAAAAATCTATTTGTTATATAAATAAATTATTAAATTCAATATAAAAATTTTAAACGAAAATCAAACAATTTATTGGCTTTCTTCGTTTACAATCCCAAGCATAATATAACACAGAAAAATCAATCGCCGGCATAAGATATATTCTGGACCATTAATTCCATCACGCGAACGCAGACAAAAACCGAATCAAAATTTCAAAAACACCTCTTCTCCATTCCCATCCAATCGGCCAGATCTACTACAATACAACCAACCTCTCATATTTTATATTATATTATATATATTCTACTTAATTAATTAATTTAACACACGCTCAGTCAAATTAAACTCTCAATCGATCCTATCGACCTTCCTTCCCTCTCTTCTTCTCACCCAAACCCTAATCGATCGAATCGGCAAATATATTCTTGAAATTTACAGCGAGTAAATTTATTTATTTTTTATTTTTTAATTTATTTTTAAAAAAGTTGGTCGATTTGAATTCAGAATGAAAGAGAGGAAATCAGCGAAATTGAATCATCTGCAGCAACAACAGCAACACCAGAACGGTCACTTGTCTCCGTTCAAATTCGCTAAATTGTTCGATCCGGAGGCATCTTGGGACAAGGTTCCAATTTTTGAATTGTAGTTTGTGTACTCGTTTGGCAAATTTGTTTCTTGTTTCTAAATTTAGGGTTTAATTCCAGTTGATATGATGGGAGTGTATTTAAATGCCTTAGTTGTTTTTTTTACCCCTGAAATTCTGGAAGGAGATATAAAAAATCTAGCAATCTCATGAAATTTATTGTTATAGCTTAGATAAAATATTGATACCAATCATTTGAGTTGAGTTGGAGTCCCAGTTTTCAGTAGCTGTCACTTTTGGATTGGCTTGTGTTTATATGTGAATCTAAATTGTTCAAAATGCAAGGCTAGCTGAAACCTTCTTCTTTGCAGTTTGACTTGTATTTGGAGAATAAATGTAACATAGAACTGATGTGAGAGGGTAGAATGTATTTCGGAGAATAGAGGATTACTAGTAAGTTAGCAACAGTTTGAAATAATGCAGAAAAAATAGTCAGAGGTTGTTCTCCACATTTGTCTTGCCTGATGTGCACGATAATCATGTATAAATTTCTTTATAGCTCACATAGAACCACCACTGTAAAATTATGTAGAAAAGAATTGACAGTGGTGGCTCCCGGGAGTTTCCAGTAGAGTAATTTAGTTTCGGTTGCATTCAGATTGATTTCATGAATGTATGCTTTGCATTTGAGTTGGGTCTGGGTTTTAATTCAACTTCGTAGGTGTATGCTTCAGTTGTAAGATGGAGGATTTTATGTTGAAAATAAAATTGTTGGCTGGTTTAAGGAAGTGGGAACACCTAAAAGGGGTCCTTACATGAGGAGAAACTGATCAGACTCAAGAAGCCCTCTCTACTGGATTAACTCTTTTCCATCAATCCTCATCTTCCTGATTTTTTTTTTTTTACTTCCATCTTGCTATGACATTAAATTAAACATATGTTAATAAGAGTGGGACTTCTTGTTTTTCCAAGGGCAACTAAATTTATTAGAATTATAATGGGATGGGCGTCAAAGAATTTATCTTTGTATGCTGAGGACTAGGAGAGATTGAAAGAGGAAGAATGAAGTTTGGGAGACTATTATGTACATAAATTGTACCCAGTGTACAATGCTCCCGTTTACAGTAGGGTTTGGGAGATGTAGGCAAATTTTTTTTTTTGTTGGTTTGGATAAGCCGATCCTGTGACTCGAACTCACATTGTAACACTAGGGGCAGATATCACTTGCCATCTCTCTAGGTCACAACAACCTCTAGACTTTTGTTTATGTACTAACGTATAAAGGTAAATACCATAAAATTCCCAATTTCAATTTTTATTAAAGCTTCTTTGATTTCCTTGTTTCATGTTTTCAAGAATATCCAGATGAACAGAGAAATGTAGATTGACATAGAAAGATAGAACCTAAAAAAATGAGTGGTTTTTTGAGACGGAGTTTTTATTTTTATTTTTTTATCTCTCTTTGTTAATTTCAAGTCCTTTCATCTTTCTGTTTAATTTGGAAAGTTTTGCATCTATGGTATTCCAGTGAAAACTATTCCTTGCTTTAAAATTGCTTGATTTTATTTTATGTGTTATTCACAATATAACATAACACACTTCTCTTGTAGGATCAATTAGGAGACGTATTGCATTGGATTCGACAAGTCGTGGCCCTTCTATGTGGGTTGCTTTGGGGTGCCATTCCTTTAGTTGGGGGCATATGGATTATTGTGTAAGTTGATGCTTGTACTATTCCAGGCTCCAGCTATAGCCTGTGGTGAATAGTTCCATTTTTAAATCTGCTTCAAAATGTTCTTTCATAATATCTTTATACATGCTAAATGCTTATGAGTAAAGTTCTAATGAGTTTCGAGATTTATCAATGTTATGGTGCCATTAGCAAAACTACGACAATATTTTTCATATAGCCGTAACTTTTTTACTTGTAAAGATTGACTTTCTTTTGAGTGTGTTGGACTTGGAACCTCAACAAAGATAGATATGCAATGGTCTGAAACCCTTTTTATTTGTGTGTGGGGCAGGGGTGGTTCCAGGCTTGGCACAGATGTTAGTACTTCTTTACAGTTAACCCTCGTAGCTGGGATACCTGACCTTCCATTCCAGATTTTGGATGATAATGAGTTGGGATGAATGCTACTTGTCAAACTTTGAACTTAGAAAGTTCATTGCCATGAACTAATCAGGATTAGTTTAGCCAAGTACTGTAGTTGTGAATCTTTGTGTGCAAAGTTCAATTACATAATGAACTGTTTGGAATCAGAAGTACTATACTAAATATTGGAAAATAATAGTTATTTTAAGGAAGATATTCATAGGAAGGTAAAGTAATTCTTATCTGTTTGGAATCAGATTGTTAGAGTTGAAGGATTTCAAGTTAATACATAGGCAGATCAGTTGGAAAGGATTGGATCTGAGACATCTGACAGATGAGAATCCATGGTTTTATACTTTGTGGCATGGCAGTGTCTTACATGCAGCATGAGGTTGATTCGTTGCCTCACAGTGAACTGACCTTGTGAAACCAATTGATGCTATTGTTTTAGCTTTATATTCAGTGAAGTTATTGCTTGAGGATGTTTGTTGAGTTGCTCAAAGGGTGTGCATATAATGTGTAATTAGATGGGGGAAAATATTTATACTTGCAGCTTGAGCTTCCTTAGCTTCTTGGGGTGGTCCCTTTTTTAGGATTACAGGTGTGCAATACGTGAGATCCTAAACAGGAGGGAACTATTTTGCCTTTACTTTTTCTGTTACCTTATCTTTTTCACATTACTTGTGAGAAGCAAACAGAGCCTTAATTTAAGCATTCTTTGGCAACTAATGCATAGTGCTCTGTTTAATGGTGTGCAACTTAGAAAAATTACTGTGCTAGTTATGTGTGGTATAGTGGTATGGTTCAAGTTGAAGGCCGTGGATAAATATAAGTTTGTGTAGAATGCAACAGTGAAACAAGATTCTAAGGAGCCTTCCTTAAATGATTGTGTTATGAGCTGTGTTTCTTTTTTTTTTGTTGTACGATCCACAGTCATTTCTTGGTTGAAGTATAGTCTTTAAGCTGGATGGTGTTGCTGCATTTTGGGGAAGGAATGGTTGAGGATGACTAGATGTGGTTTGTCAAGAGACATTTTGGGATAGAGATATGCTTGCAAATAAGAGATCAAGGTATTGTATTTTTTCATTGCCTGTTTATCTGTCTGCTACCACCCCAAGTGTTTCCATGATCACTCTGCTTTGGGTGTAGTATTCTATCTAACATAGACACAAATATGAGACATGGACGTGACACTATACGGATATGATGGCATAGAAAATCTTAAAAGTAGGACACAATATGGAAAGGACACATCAACATATTAATATATTCTATTATGCATGTTGTATAATAAAAAATATGTAATCTAATATAATAAACATATTGGAGGGTGTTAGTTGTGTTTTGAAAAATGCCAACATTGTTACGATTTAGAGATTCACCACATAGGTTGCGTCCAGGAGAGTCCAAGAAGTGTCGCCGAAGTGACCGGAAGGATTGCTGGAGTACCTGAAATTATGAATTAATTTTTAAATTAGAGCACAATGAAGAAGTGTCAAACTCTCAGGTACTAGTTTTCTTAAGCAATTTGAGAGGGTGATTTTTTATCTTTCTTTTTTTGTTTGGGGTGATAGGCTGGTGTGTTTGTTGGTTATTGGTATCTTGGTGATGGGAGATGATTTGTATAACCAAACGAAACCAAACCAAACTAAACCTTAAGTCCCATCAATTGGGGTAGGCTACATGAATCATTGTTCTCCACACGGCCCTATCAAAGGCCATTTCGTTAGTCAAATTAAGTAGATCCAAATCTCCATTTACAATACTAGCCAACGTTAATCTAGGCTTATCCCGTTCCCTAACACTTCAATCTACCATTATAGTATCGCATCTCTTCACTACTGCTTCTGTTGGTCTCCGTTGAAAATGACTTAACTATTTCAATCAATTCTCTCTCAACTTATCTTCTATTGGTGCTACTCCTACCCATTCCCGAATACACCCATTCCTAATTCTTTCTTGTCTAGTCTTGCCACACATCCACCTTAATATCCTTATCTCAGCCACACTCATTTTATCCACATGTTGTTTCTTGGTTACCTAACATTCCGTCCCAGACAACATCGCTTGTCTAATAGCCGTTCTGTAGAACTTACCTTGTAGTTTAGTGGGTATTCGTTTATCGCATAGTACCCCAGACGCACTTCTCCACTTACACCATCTCACCTTAATCCTATGGGCCACATCTGCATCAATTTCTCCCACTATTGTGATAATCGATCCTAAGTAACGAAAATGTTCATTCTTAGGCCCCGTTTGTTTTGGGAGATAGAATAGAGGGGATTGATAGTGAGGAGATTGATAGTGAGGGGATTAATAGTGAGGAATTATTAAATTATTTTTATATAAAATAATAAAACAAATAAAAAAATAAACATTATAGTCAAAAAAAAAATTCCCAATATATAAAAAATAAAAATAATAAAAAAATTTCTAATCCCCTCACTATTTTTCTAATATCATCTCTACCTCCTCCTTACCAATCCCCCTTCATCCTCCTTACTAATACCAAGGGATTACTAATCCCCTCCCTATCTCTCAAAACAAACACCACATTCTCAATCTCCTTCTCACTATCAAACCTAATCCCCTCCCTATAACCCCAAACAAACGGAGCCTTAGGCAGTTTTTGGTTCTCAATCTTCACTTCTCCTCTGCTTTCATTGTTAGTGTTACTAAATTTACATTCCATGTACTTTGTCTTGGTTCTGCTTATCCGGAATCCCTTAGATTCAGGAGCTTTTCTCCAAATCTCCAACTTTGTGTTAACTCTTTCTCTAGTCTCATCCACTAGTATGATATTGTCTGCAAAAAGCATATATCATGGCACGTCATTTTGAATATTTCTCGTCAACTCATCCATAACTGAAGCAAAAAGATAAGGATTTAATGCAGATCCTTGGTGTAATCTTACAATGATAGGAAATTCATTTGTCTCTCCAGCAGACGATCTAATAGTGGTAACCACCCCTTCATACATGTCTCTAATCACATCAATGTAACCTTTTGTCACTCATTTCTTCTCTAACACTCACCATATTATATCCTGGGGCACTCTAGACTGAATTTCCATTTACAATATTTTTAGTAATTACGGCATTTCAAGGGGTTGAGTCCAGCTAAAAGTTGCAGTATGTGATACCTGTGGAAAGTGCATATACGTGAAGAATTGTTACTTCTCACTTGCACTGGCATTCACCTCAAAAGGCGTATATCCTTAAAGAGACGAGAAGTCTTCTTGTTTTAGATAAATGAGGCATCTTACACTTAACAAGGGACCAGACCAAAGTGTAAATATTGTTGAAACAAATATACTTTCTGTTAGTAAGCACCTTATGTACACTTTAATGTGTAATTGACTGATTTATTTTCTGAAACTACTTTCTTGAGTAACGTGATACAGTGGCATTCATTGATTCTTTTTTCACTCTTTTGCCTGTTTTGATAGAAAAATCTCCAAGTTGTCTAGTTTCTTCTTAAAAAAATGTGAATTATATATTTCTTTCTTTTTTTATAGGAGAATGTTCAGGTTAGTTGTGTTTTTTTTACTTTCATCTCTTTTATATACATTTTGGAGGGAAAACTAAAAACTCAGGAAATCTATGTGCTCTGACATTTCTTCAAATAATCATACTTGAAATGTTTGATAATAGTGAACGATGTCCATTTATGATATACGTGGTAACACCCGCGATCAACTTGTAATACCAACTTTGGGTCTCAGGTTTCTGGTGATATCCTCTGGAATTATATATGGTTATTATGCAATGATACTAAAGATTGATGAAGAAGAATTTGGCGGCCACGGGGCTCTCCTCCAAGAGGGACTTTTTGTCTCTATAATGCTGTTTCTGGTATTTAAAACATCTATTTATTGTTGTTCTCTCTCTCTTTAGAAATTCCTTTGCTCGTCTGCTAACTAGCTAACTATTCTGTTCTGGTCTTCAGCTTGCATGGATTTTAGTATACAGCTTGGCGCACTTCTGATTTTCTGGGTTCCCGACTTAGAACCTCCTCTCTCCTCTTTCTCTGTCCGAGGCTTCTGTTGCCCCGACAACAATTTGGAATCTGTAGTGAAGTTTTCCATTTCCATTTCATTATTGTGCAATACTCAAAATTCTCATGGACTAAATAGCTTTCAGATCCAGGGTAGATAAGCTGGCTGTTTCAATGATAATTTTATTCCTGTAGCATCATCCCATAGAATGTAACAGAGTGAGTCCCAAGTAGTAGAGTTATTGTTTTTTGTTTTCATTACCGGCATCAGCATTTCTCCTTTGGGATTCTGCCCATACGAGTGAGCTGTTGTGTTTGGTTCCATATTTTGTGGATTTGCGGCACTGACAACTCTGTTATTAATACTGTGGTGACACAAATAAGACGTTAAATAAAATAACTAAAAAAAATGATCATCATAGTAAATCCTTGAACGTACACTTTAAAAAAATTCATATTCTTATTCAGGTTCAAAAATGTTATATTCATTTTTTAGATTTAATGATATGGTATATTATTAACTATGTCAATTATTTATTCTTTAATTATCGATCTATTATCTCGTTTACACATCACTTGATTTAGAAAGTGTACTTACATAAATATTCATTAAGATGGCCCCTTCTAGACGGCGAAGAAGATGATGACAGTGGGTCCCACTTGTCACCCCTCCGTCACGCAAGGCCAGACGGAGATGCTTGAGCCGGCGGCCAGGGACGACTGTGCTGCGGCTGCAGTGGTGGTGTGGTTGCTTTATTACGAATACAATAATGTTTGGTAGTTTGAATTTTTATAATCTAAATGGCTCGAATGTCTCGAATGATGTTGTTTTGATACATTTGAACTATTCGATCACACAAATTTGAGTTATCAAACATTTTTCTTACGAGTAAAAGGTGGGATTGGAATGGGAAAGTTGGATTCGGGCCACAAATATGGTTATTTATAGTGTGTGATGGGATGAAAATGCCCTCTGAGATTATGGTTCGTATTTTGCATTGAAATCTCTCATGATTTGTTTCCATTTTTGTGATATTAGTTGTGGTCTCGGGCCTTCTTATAAATGCAGTTTTTATTTTATTTTATTTATTTATTTAAAGAAAAATAGCTGGTAGCTCGAATACGCTAAGGCTCGATTGGCCCGAATCGAAAAACGATGTCGTTTTGTGATTTTTTTTTTCTCTCTTTTGTATCTGAAACACAGACGATGAAGAGAGAGAGAGAGAGTGAGAGAAAGCGAGAGAAGAAATACAGACGAGAGAGAGAAGAGAGAAGCGAGACAGAGAAGGGAAATCGTCGCCGATTGATCGCCGGTGGGTATCGTCGCCGATCGCCACTTCTCCTGTTTTCTGTTTTCTATTTTTTTTTTCCTAGTCTCTGGATCTGGATGTGTTGATGATGATGATGTTGATGAAGGTGGTGTTGTTGATGATGATGATGCGTTGATTTGGATCTGGATGTATTTATTTTTTTTTTTTTTTGTGTTGGGTGATTTGGGTTTGAACTTTGTGTTGGGTGATTTGGGTCTCTGTAGCACTCTCTCTATTTGGTCTCTGTAGCACTCTCTCTGCTCCCCTCTTCTCTTCTTCCTTCTTTCTTCTTTCTCTTCTTCTTCTCTTTCTTCTTTTGTGAGTTACTACGAAGGAAAGAGAGGGAAAAAAAAGAGAGGCCAAAACGACGTCGTTTTGGCTTTTCGGGCCATTCGAGCCTTGAGATAATCGAGCTACAAAATGGGACAATTATTTAAATATTTTATTATTATTTAAGGAAACAAAAAAAATAAAAGGATAAATTACACTCTCTTAAATTTGAACAAAAATATAATTAATTTTATATATTTAACATAATTATACTGATTTCTTTTGACATTTTGTTTAACATAATAGTTAAATAATTTTTCATCAATGATTTGCTAGTCGTGTAAATAAAAAAAAATTAGTGTTATTATATATTTTTTATACTAAAATATATATATTTATTTTTGTTTATTCTAGTGTCTGCCTAATATTTGCATTAGTTTCAATTACTTTACTTTTACTAAAAAAAGATATCAGTGTAATTATGGATAAGACTAATTTAAATTTTTCCAAATCTAAAGAGATGTGAGTGTCATTTATCCTAAATAAAAATTATTAGAGGAATAACATATTAATGTATATTTTGAAGAAAAAAAATTCAGATTAATGATAAACTTTACGAACTTCAATTATTGACATTAATTTTTCCATGTTTATATAATTATTTTTTGAAAGTACAATTGATTTGTAATTTGTTCAAAATTATTTCTCCTTTTTGGTCATTATTTCTCTATACATTCAAAATACAAACATATATAAATGAATGAATACTCAAATCCAATGAGAAACTTAAATGTTAACAAATTTGATGCGTTTAAAATTGGGATGGGAAGTGATTCTCTCTGAAATCTATACTATATATATAATCAAATGTAATGGTTTTGTCAAAAATCTGTAAATATTCATTCCTAAATTCTCATAATTTTAAAATTATCTCTTTCCTACGTGGCAACCATTTTTGATTATCTTTCGTGTTTTCTATTTTCCTCCATTTTCTATTTATTTGATTAATTAAAATGAAAATTAATTTCATGGCTTATGGATAAAGATTTGAATTTCAAAATTCGTCCATATAGATAAACATATAAAAACTGATAAATAATTTATGAAAATTAATTTCATGGTATACAGATAAAGATAAAAATTAAATACTTAATTTCATAACTTATAGATAATTTAAAATTTCTTCCCATAAATAAGCATATAAAAATTAATTTCATGGCCTACTGATAAAAATAAAGGTTAAAAAATTGATTTAAAAAAAATTACTCATGTTTTTTGCCCTTCATTTTGTACTTTAATTAATTTCATTATGAATAAACATATAAAAAAATCATAAATAATTTATGGAAATTTATTTCATGACATTTAGATAAAAATAAAAATTTTAAAAATTATTTGAAAAATAATAATTTCATGACTTATAGATAAATAAACATATAAGAATTGATAAATAATTTATAAAAATTAATTCCATAGTCTCCAGATAAAGATTAACTAATTGATTTACAAAATAAAAATTAAAATAATAAAATTTAGATAAATATATGATTTGTTAATCCATATCTATCAAAAACATATCTATCTAAATCTTTATTTTGGTTTACTTAAATTTTTTTTCTCCTTTTATCACATATTATCTTTTTTTTATTTTGAATTTTTTATCTTGTGAAATGCTCTTATCTATAACTTCTTATCTCCTCTTAGCCTACTCCTCATAATTTTTATTATTTGTTATTATCTACCAAGTGATAAAGATATATATAAAAAAAGAATGGTTGAATATGAATAAGAAGAGTATTAATAATTAAATAATGAAAGCTGTATGGGAGAAAGCAATACAAAAATCTCACAAAATTATTTTCCGTCACTATATTTATCCAAGGTAATAATTTGATATTCTTTCTTTTAATTTTTAAAAATAGTTTACATTAGATCATTACTATGTGTTTTTCCTTTTTATTTTTTTTATTAGATTGTCATTTGTTATAGTATTTTTTCAATCCCATATCTAAATTTTCTCTTTGAAATTTCTATTTTTTTAATAATAAAGTTTAGAACTAATTGCTTGTAGAAACTATGCAAGTATTATTCAAGTTATGGAGAATGATTACTTACAAATTATAATTAAAAGTTGAGATTTATTTATAATTTGGTCCCACAATAATAATATAAATCATTGATTTAAAATAAGTAAATTTATGATAACTTATACAATTTATTTCTTTTAATGCTTTGTTTTTGTTTTTGTTTTTGTTTTTTTTGTTTTTTTTGTTTTTTTTTTTTTTTGCATGACACTATAGTCTGATACAAATTATTTATGTTAGCAAGTGATTGTAATACTATTATCCTAACAATCTTTATAATTAACAATTTTTTATGTATATCAAATTTTTATTGTGAAATTTTGTAGATTAATTATTGTTAACATCAACCAAGATAGCCTAACATCATGGCTTGTTGTTATTAAAATATAATTCAAGATTAAAATAATTTATATATCACACAAAATGTATATAGTTTATTTTTCCGTGCATCGCACGGGTTACCACTAGTTACCAATTGAAAGTGTTGTTAGATTAACCACGATATCTCCCAATATGAATAACTAATTTTATTATCAAATTATATTTATTTCTAAAAAAATAAACGATAAATATAAATTTAATGATAGACTTTTGTTTTTTATTTAAAGCAATGTGATTCGCTTAATTAGATTTTTTTTTACATAATTTGAATAGATTATTTTGTAGGATAATGATTTATGAATTGATAAATCCCCCAAAGCCAACCCTTTAGGAATCATGGGTATTTTATATGTCATATTTAGACGGTAACCATAATAATAGGACATAACCCTTGAATGGTTCAACACAATTTCCTGCTTCTATTCTCTCTCTGCAATTCTTGTATTGCTTCTCAAGCAATTCCATATCCCTTTCCAAAAATTTTGTTCCCCAATCCATATACCCATTACCTTTTGATTAATATTGTATCCCAGAATAGTCTTTGTTTTACATTGCATTCTCTCATCCTTCAGAGATGTCTCTGATCAAAGATTGCACAAGAAGTTGATGATTCATCGGAGACTCTTCTGGCCAAGAGCCCGCCGACAAAAGATGGAGAACTCTGTCACCATTAGATGCCGCAATCACTTATGGTTGGTTGTCTTTGTCATGTTTGTTTTATGGTACTTATTGCTTTATGTTCCTGATTGGTCTTCTCTCCGTCTCACCTCTTTACCGCAAAACCATGTCAATTTCATTGAATCCCAACACTCTAATCCCAATCAAAATCCCAATCATGTTGGTGACACTAATCATCATTCCATCAGCACTACAATATCCGATGATGATCGTGTAAAACCAGAGAATGAAATCGGAACTGAAACAAAAAATAGAAAAATTAAGCCGATCAAACCATCCGCTGAGAAAGAAGGAATTGAAAACATTGATCGAGTTAGTGAAAACAGAGAAAAACCCACTTCTGATATTGTCGATCATCGTGGCGAAAAACCCGAAGATGGAAGTAGAGCCGCGGCCAAACCACCAGAAAGAATTGAAAAGGTTGACCAAACACCTGTTTCTGAAAACAGAGAAGAACCAGCATCTGAAAATCCTGAATTACAAGCGTGTTCGGGTCGATACATCTATATTCACGACATTCCAAAGAGGTTCAACGATGAATTGATAGAGAATTGCAAGTCACTCAGCAACTGGAGTAACATGTGTCAGTACATGGAGAACATGGGTCTTGGCCAGCGTCTTCCAACCGATAAGGTCTTCTCAAACACCGGTTGGTTCGCCACGAACCAGTTCTCGTTAGAAGTCATATTCCACAACAGAATGAAACAGTACAAGTGTTTGACAAAGGACTCAACGAAAGCTTCTGCAATTTTCATACCTTACTATGCAGGCCTCGATGTTGCTCGATATCTATGGGGTTCGAGTGCATCAGCAAGAGATTCTGGCTCAATTGATGTCTACAAATGGGTTAGAGAACAACCCGAATGGAAAACCTTGTATGGTAGAGACCATTTCTTGGTTGCAGGGAGGATTACATGGGATTTCAGGAGAGGGGTCGACGATGACTCTGCTTGGGGAAACAGGCTAATGCTATTGCCTGAATCCAAGAACATTACAATGCTGACAATTGAATCCAGCCCTTGGAACAGCAACGATTTTGCAATACCATACCCGACATACTTTCACCCTTCGAAAGACAGTGAAGTGTTCCAATGGCAAAACAAGATGAGGAGGCTAAGAAGGCGGTTCTTGTTTTCGTTCGCCGGAGCTCCTCGGCCCAACATGGAGGACTCAATCCGAAGTCAGATTATGCAACAATGCCAAGCAACGAGGCGAAAGTGCAAGTTGTTGGAATGCCAAAACAAGGGGAACAAGTGCATGAAACCGGCTTACCTAATGAAAATGTTTCAAAGCTCGGTGTTCTGCTTGCAGCCTCCCGGGGATTCATTCACCAGGAGGTCGACTTTTGACTCGATTGTCGCTGGCTGCATTCCTGTGTTTTTCCACCCAGCTTCTGCTTATATCCAGTACTTGTGGCATTTGCCGAAGAATTACAACAAGTACTCGGTTATGATACCGGAGGACGATGTGAAGAACAATAATGTGAGCATTGAGAGAGAACTAATGAAGATTCCTAATGCTAAGGTCGCGGCGATGAGGGAGGAGGTGATAAAGTTGATTCCGAAGGTGATATATACTGATCCAAGGTCTAGATTGGAGACAGTTGAAGATGCATTTGATTTAACAGTGAAGGGGGTTCTTGAGAGAGTGGAGAGATTGAGGAGGGAGATTGAGGAGGGAAGGAATTCTAGTGTGGGTTTTCATGAAGAATTTAGTTGGAAGTACAGTTTCTTTGGGACATTAGATAACAGAGAATGGGATCATTTTTTTAAAAGAAGAGACAGAGATAGATATTAACATGACAATAAAGAGAAAAACAGAAAGAACAGAATATGAAAAATACAATGTAGTTTGCTTTAGTTTTATTAGAAACATTTTAATGTTTTTTTTAGCTAATATAGATCTTGATTTGTTACGTTTTTGTTTATTTGTTGAGATTCTGAATTCTTTTGAGTAGCTCAGTTTTCACCTTATACTGTATGTCTAACACCATAACCAATGCCCTTTTATTGGCCGTGCACGTGCTTATTCTTTCGGATATTCAGGAGTGGAGTTTTCTTGAAGTTTCTTGCAGTAAGTAGTTAATTTTTGGAGCAGAATTTTCTTGAAGTTTCATACGGTTAGAGCATCTCCAATGCATTAGGTATATAATACTTGTTAGTTAAAATGCCTAGTGTGATTCATTTTTTTCAATTCCAATGCACTAGGCATATGATTAGGCATTGTGGCTCAACTCATATTCACTAGCTACATGTAGCTAGCCTTCAACGCTAGGCAAAATGTATTCAATCATTAGGATCATTTCCCTCCATCTTTGTTGTTGACGTGGCATTTTATAAAATTAATAGTATTTGGATAAATAGCTAAAATAAAGAGCATGGTTGGAGTAAAAACATAAAATAGTTGATAGGCAAAATAAAATATATACTTTATAGTAATATTTAGATATGTAAAATGCCTACTACCGTTGGAGATGCTCTTATTCTTCAGAAAACTCCATGCCAAAAGATCCGAACACACTATTTAGGGTAGTTATTTGTAATTTTGGAATATAGGTACGTGATATTCCATATTATTGTGATTGGTAAAGAAATGGGTAGGTGAGGTATTATGCTGATTGATTAGTGAATAAAACATATTAAAAAATGATTACTTAATGGATACGCGGTACTTTAGAAATATTCAATAATTTCTCCACTATTTATAACTTGACATCACTTTCTTAAAAGTACATGTGGGTAACGTTTTATGTACTAAAATTTCTTCAACAATTAATAACATAAAATTGATTTAGTTAATAAAATGCTTTCATAAAAGACATAATATATAAATTCGAATTTTATTACTATCAATACAACTTCGCTTCTCAACTTTTTGAGTACTCAAATGGATCATTTAATGAAAACTATAAACCGATATAACTTTAAATGCAATCTAAGGAGAAGAAGGGTACCCAATGTTGGGGCTGTCCTTTACGAAATAACAAGTTTGATTAACCATTTGTGTTTATCACTAAAAATGGGGAAAGAAACAAAAAGAAAGATGTGCTTTAAAGTTCATTTTTAACTTTTTATAATAAAAAGACAAAAAAATTTAAGGATAATTTCAAATCAGTTGATGTTTGGAAAAATATTTTCTAATTAAAAGTAAACTTTACAAATATTAAAAAGTAAGGTAAATTACAAATACACCTCCTGAGGATTAAAATATAAATCACCTCCTGTGGTTTTGAAAATTACATTCCATCTCCTGTGATTTCTAATTTCATAACAAATTGCCTCTTTTATTAATAAATCATCAAGTCAATTAATAGTTTTTAATGATGTTAAAAATATGTTTCAATTAATAATTTAGGTAATTTTATTATTGTATAGAAGAGCAATTATAAATTTCATTTTTCTAGTTAATTCTGTTAAATAAAAAAATTAACAATGAGGTATTTGTAATTTTTCAAATCACATAAAGCAATCTATATTTTAAGCAAATCAAAAAAATATATTTATAATTTATCCTAAAAAGTAAGATTATAAATTTTCTCATTACTTTGTAAATAGTTTTGGAGTCCCCGTTGAGATGTAAATTTTCCTAAAATTTAAGTGTGAGAAACTTAAAGTAAAGTACGAAAAAATAACAAACAAACGAACCAGCAATTACAAATTATATTGAAAAAAATGGCGAGTTATATTAATGGTTCTTATAGTTTAGGACTTGTATCATTTGATTCTTAATTTTTTAATTATGACATATTTAATCATGAATTTTGAATCTTATTCCAAATAAGGATAATTGAAGATATCATTGTTTAATTTCAAGGGTAAAATCATTAATTTGGTAAAATATAAACTAATTTGACAAAAATAAATGTCAACTAATATTTTTGAATTTTTAAAAATTATTTTTATCCACTAAAGATAAAATTATGTAAAATTGATAAATCTTTTAGACATTTATTTATGTATTTATTTTTCTAAATTAATTTTTATTATATGTTTAGATGATCATCATGTAGTTGGTGGTTGTTTTTATTTTTATTAAATTAGTTTTTATTTTTTCAAAAGTCAAATATGGCGATAACTTTGATATCATTATTAAACCAATCCATTAAATCAAAAAATTCAAAACTAACAATATTTCATATATTAAATTTATCAATTACATATTAAAATCTTAACAACTACTCATTATATGATCATCATCTAAATATATAATAAAAATTAATTTGAAAAAATAAATACATAAATAAATGTCTAAAAGATTTATCAATTTTATATAATTTTATCTTTAATTGGTAGAAATAATTTTTAAAAATTTAAAAATATTTTTTTGACATTTATTTTTATCAAATTAGTTTATATTTTATCAAATTGATAATTTTGTCCTTAAAGTTAAGTAATGGTATCTTCAATTGTTATTATTTGAAATAAGATTCAAAATTCATGATCAAATGTGTCGCAATTAAAAAGTTAAGAATTAAAATGACACGAGTCCTAAACTATAAAGAGGATTAATGTAATTTGCACTTGAAAAAATGGACAATATTAGATTTTATTCAATAATTTTTTAGAATGGACAAATTAAAAACATTTTAAAAAACAAATTGAGTGAACAATAAATTTCTTATATTTACGCATAACAAAATTTTCAAAAAAGTCTGGTGATAACTAAAATGATCACTACTTGTCACCATTGTTATTTTTTTTTGTTTCTTAAAGTGAGGTGACAGGACACCCAACAAATTTATGCCTTCATAACAAATTTATTAATTAAATTTTTGTTATTCATAAAATAGTTCAAAGCTATCAGTACACCCACCCCCCTTCCCCCCTTATCCCTTGGTAGAGCTTTGGTGAAGATATCTGCAACTTGATCTTCAGTCTTGCAATACTTGATTTGAATCTCATCATCTTTCATAGCTTCTCTAATGAAATGATATTTGATAGCAATGTGTTTGGTACGAGAATGGTAGACGGGATTATGTGCCATAGCAATAACAGACTTATTATCACACATAATTGGAGTAGCTTCACCTTGCTTCTCACCAAAATCAACCAAAATTCTTCTTAGCCAAACTGCTTGTGTAGTTGCCAATGATGTTGAAATATATTCGCCTTCAGCAGATAATTGTGCCACAGTTTGTTGTTTCTTGGATGGCCATGAAATTATGCCCGATCCAAGAGAAAATGCATACCCAGAAGTGCTTCTCATATCATCAACACATCCAGCCCAATCACTATCACAAAATCCAAGTAACTTTGCATCAACAAATTTCTCATAAAAAATTCCATAATCAAGTGTACCTTGAATGTATCTCAACACTCTTTTTGCAACCCCAAAATGAATTTGGCTTGGACTGCACATGAACCGAGACAATAAACTTGTAGCATACATGATGTCCAATCTTGTAGCAGTTAAGTACAACAAACTTCCAACCAAACCTCTATAACAAGATGCTTCAGCTTCTTTGCTTCCATCTTCCTTTGACAACTTTTCATTCACAATCAAGGGAGTAGCAACTGCTTTGCAATTCTTCATTTTAAAATATAGTTTATTCTAAAAAGAGCTTTATCAAAAGCTAACATAAGTGGTATCAAAGCTTTGGTTTGGTCAAGAACAAGCTACGCGTAGAGATCGGATACGGGAAAACAAGCCCCAAAGAAGAACAAACCGATGTCCATGGCGAATCCTAACAATCAAAATGTATCTACTCCTATCTTTAATAGTGAAAATTTTGATTTTTGGTATGTGAAAATGAGAACTATTTTTGTCTATACGAAGCTTTGGGATCTTGTTGAGAATGGGTTCGAGGAACCTAAAGATGAATGAGCTTTGACAAATCCCTAAAAGAACCAATTAAAAGAGCAAAGGAAGAAGGATTCAAAGGCTCTTTCTTTTATTCAACAAGGAGTTTCAGAAGTAATCTTTCCAAGAATTATCAATGCAACAAAAGCGAAGGAGGCATGGGATATTCTTCAAAAAGAGTATAGAGGCAACTTGAAGGTAAGAACCATCAAACTTCAATCATTGAAAAGAAATTTTGAAAATTTAAAGATGAAGGATATAGAATTGTTGAAGGATTATTTTTCTAGGGTTATGGAACTTGTAAACCAAATGAAAATTTATGGGGATAATATTATTAATCAAAGAGTTGTTGAGAAAATTTTGATAAGTTTGCCGGAGAAATACAATCCCACTGTTGCTGTCATTGAAGAAACTAAAGATCTTGCTGATTTGAGTATTGAAGAATTGATGGGTTCAATTAAAGCATTTGAGCAAAGGTTGAGTAGGTAATCTGAAAAGTCAATTGAAAGTGCCTTTCAATCCAAGCTCAATGTTAGTACCTCTAATTCCCAAGGAAGAGGAAGAGGAGGATGAAGAAATGCAACTGGAAGAGCAAGAAATGCAAGAGGAAGAGGAAGGTCTAATTTTCAAAGAAAGGAAAATGAAGAGTCCACTCAACAAAAGTGTGGAATTTGCAACCGAAGCAATCATGTTGATAAAGATTTTTGGTTTCGAGGAAAACCAAAATGTTACAATTGCAACAAATTTGGGCATGTCAAGAAGGATTGCCTAGTCAAGAGCACTCAACAAGCTAATTTTTTCGATGAGCAAGAAAGTGAAGGGCACATGTTCTATGCTTGTCACAAGGGATCAGATCAAACCAAGGATGTATGGTTTCTCGATAGCGGATGTAACAATCACATGACAGGAGATGAAAGCATTTTTGTGAAAATGGATGCTTCCTCCAGTTCTCAAGTAAAATAGGGAATGGTGCCTTAGTCCAAACAAAAACAAAAGGTACTATTGCTATAGAAACCAAGATGGGTACAAGATTCATTTCCGATGTTCTCTTAGTTCCAGACTTGGAGCAAAATTTGCTAAGTGTTGGACAACTTATGGAGCATGGATACCTTGTTCACTTTGAAGACGATTTTTGCAAAATTTTTGACAAAGGGAGGAAAAACCAAGTTGTAGCAAAAATCAAGATGGAGAAGAATAGAAGTTTTCCTCTTATTTTCCGGTATAGCAAAAATGCGGCTTTGAAGATGG